AAACGTCGAGCCAGGTCCAGACTTTTATTTATTGTAGCTGCTGTTTCCCTGCTGTGCAAACACAGAAGCCTCTTTGAATAAATAGTTTAATCAGGATGTTTTTAAAGCTGATTTAATAGTCGATATATCGGAAACCAGAAAACTGAGCACAAAGTGAAGTAAAACGTTTGTATTTAAGAACTGCTTAAAAGCTTTATTGCCTTTAACTATCAGTTTAAATGTGTGCTGCTTGGGAAAAGAGCTTTTGGGTTAAAGTACAGCCAAATAAAAGTGTTACACACACCTTGGAAAGCTGAATTTAAGGTGTCGCTACCTGTGCTTATGCACTCGGCCTCCAGAGTCCAATGACCTGCTGAAAGAGACTGTAATGCTAATTTACAGCCAGATGTTTGACATTAGAGTAGCTTTGCATGATTCAGAGTTCACATTGATCCTCATTCATCTTACCTGGGCCTTCATTAGTCCATCCTCTGCCTGAAACAAGAGGTTTTAGCTCATCTCTCTTTACACCTTTACTGGGAAATACTGACCTGCAGTCTTACACCTCATAGAAAAGCCATTTAGAGACACCTGATCTCTTCATTATGAAGGTGAAGTTTGAAGAAAGGTCACGAGGTCGTAAAAGTCTGATCCAGAAGTCTCCTGATGTGTATAAAAAGTATTATAATGAGACATGTGGAGCCCTGCTGCCTGCAGATAACGTGGCTGTAACAACGGTCGTTTTTAGGGTGACGTGTGGAAAGACGCTGCTACACTCAGTGATCCTCTCGTCTCAAACGCTCGCTCCTTCCTCTGCCTTTAATTCGTCGCGATCCGCCGCCTCGTGACGCCACTTTCAGATGAGTTGGTTTAACATTCAAATCTCCAGAGCGGCATTAGCGTATTTGGGTCATGAGATAAAGATCTAAGCAGTAAAGAGAGAGTCCTCCGACACCTTTAGAAAGTCCTTTTTTCTGTTGCCTGAAACCAAACGAGACATCATCACTGAGAGTCATGAACTCACATCTGTCCGATGTGCTCGTAGAAAACTGAGACGGCTGTTTTTGCATTTTAGCAAAAATAATCTGGGGTTCGAGTTGTTCTGTTTTAATGCCACGGTGTGAGAAATGACGCCTCGGTGTCTTTGCAATGCTGCAGCCGGCGTCAGAGTGCCAAATAAAAGCAGGACGCTAACGACTCGCCGGCCTCGACTGAGGAGATCTCCGGGGCAAATGTAATTATCTTGATTTATAAACGTGTGTTTATCGCCTGCTCCGCTGGCCTCTGTGCTCCATTAAAGGTGTTAGATGCTGGTTTGTAAAATCAACATGTCAGAGCCTCGTTAACTTTTAAGAACCGGCCAAAATGATCACAAAGAAATGTGACTTTCAGCCTCCGGCGGCCTCCACAGAGCGAAATCTGCAGGAAGAAGAGATTGTGTGTGGATGTGGAGGGGAGGGGCTTCCTCTTAATTAAGCCTTGCAGACGACGATGATGGAGATGTCGTTGGTCTGATGATTGGACTGAACAGACCACAAGTTTTACTTCGTGGTTCTTTCTAGGCTTATATCCACATGAGTCACTCGGGTTGGATCAAATGCGTCTAAACGAGACAGTCTCGCAGTCGTGGGCTCTTCTCCTGGTAGGACACGCCACAACACCGTCACCTAAGAGGCCTCCAGGACCAGAGCCGCCGGGTCCAGGCCAGTGGAGGCCTTGGTGGTCCAATCCCTGTTTGAACGGGCCACGCTGCCTGCTGTACTTCTGGCTTTGTGCAGTTTCTAAGAGGAATCAAACCCGTCAGTATTCGGCTAATTTCATTTAAAAGGATCGTTGTTTCCGTCCTTCACGAGTGCATCCTTTTTGTATTTGTGGGGCTGAATTTTCTTTCTTTTAAAGACTTTAAAGCCACACGAGTCGCTCCACATTTAATATAAAACGTTTTGGTTGTTTTAAACTCCGTTATCTGCTTTTGTCTGAACAGTTTGATGATAAATTATACAAATATTTTCTGAAAATTACACAAAAAAGCTCTGAAGAAGGTTTTAAGTCGTACATTTGCTCTGTCTGGCAGTCAAAACTAGAATTAAAGTGATTGAGACTTAAA